AAACTGACAGAATTGTCACATGTGCTGTATTTACACAGATTATTTGTAACTTTGGTCTGTACTAGATAGGAGTTCCTATATACAGTAAATGTATGCTTGAGGTAAAATAATTTCTTTTTGCAATATTAGACAGAGAAAGACCTCCAAGGAACTAAACCCTACTTTAAGATGTTTTAATTGTTCCCAGTGAAACAAACTGGCCTCAAAGTTTGCTTTAAATTTCCCATAGATCTCAATTTTTTCATAAATAGTTCTGGCATATATAACTTCCAGCGTGAAATTAGTAAATTTTTATTTCACTGAAAAGCTCTTCTTCCTTAGTGATTTTTCACTTTAATTAGCTGGATCAGTGAGGACAGATAATATTCTTGAATGACTAGTAAGAAAATTCTTTTAATCAGTGGTATAGAGCAAGGTGAGATAAAAGGATTGAAGCTAAAGAGTCAGTAAGATATTTAGGCACTTACAAGGAAGTCTGGAAGACATTGTAGCCTGAATTAAAACAACATAAAATTCCGCATTCACCTCTTGCCTCACCACAGTGATTTCTAATAACAGCATCTGATCTGATCTGATCAACACCCACAGAAAACTGTACAGGCAGATGATCACCAGTCATTGCCCATCAACTGGACTGCATTACAGGACCATGTGTTTATTCCCAGCCCTTGAGTGGTGCCAATAAGCCTCAATTTAAAGCAGATACAAGTGGCTAGGATAATGTATGCAAATATATTGGACAGGAGGTTTTAAAGCGGTAATTGGTTCAATTTCTGATCATCTGACTGCACAGTTGCAAACAATCTTTTTAAAGTGGTCGTGTCACCGCAGCTGCAATCTGCCCTCTACATAATAGCTCCCTATTACAGAGCACTCACACGTAAAATGAATGATCAGTATCTGCTTCTCTCATTCTCCCAAGGGATGCTAACCATGTCACATAAAAATGCTTTGCTTAAAGGGATAAAAATGTGAATCAGAAAAAAGATTTTGCATGTGTTAGAAAGCACAGAACTCCTAAGGACAGTATTGCTTCTTACGATATGGAAATTAAGAGCTTGTTCAGAAAATATATTTGTATGTTTGGGTATAAATCAAAATTATACAATCCTGTGTAACAGGAGTGATGTAGAATTTCATTGGTCATTAATAGTGAAAAAACTTGACTGCATTTAATAGTCATGAACCTTTAAAAATCAGAAGATTTCAAAGCTTGAAAAGCTTCTAGGCTCTCCTCCCCTTCCCCTGCTCCCCAGTCTCCCCTTCTAGGCTGTTGACCCTGCATCCCATTCTGAGGCACTGAGATCCAACACCACCCTTAGGTTCCTCACACAGACCTAGGTCCCTGGCAGTTCAGGATCAGACGTACTTGGCTGTCAAATATCTATGGATTTTATCAAATCTGTGTTGGCCACAAAGGTGACTCTGAAAAACATGTCCTCATCCTAGGCATCCCTACTGTTTGTATTTTCCACATAGCTAATACTGGATAATTCCAATATGTTAGCATCAGTTCCAAATGTGATTCCTAATGTAAAACCTTGACTTGGGGAACACATTCTGGTTTTCACTTTTACAAGGTTGACAGAAGAATAATGGAGCAGGCATTGTGTTTCAAGACTCTGAGATTAATCCTGCCTATTTAATCATAGGTCTTTTGATTTTTCATATTTCAATTATATGTCAATTTTCATACTAAGTAAACATCAACCCCAAATGAAGCGCAGTATCTAGCTAGTAATTGGACATGACACCCCACAAAGACTTAATTTTGCATAAAACCTACCAAAGAACTAGCAGTCAGCTACAGAATAAATCTTAACAACCAGTTAGCAATGTCCTGCTGGCAGCACCCACACAGACCTAAAGCCATTTGCAAAATGGAAGCTGCAGACAGCAAAGGAAGCAGCTTGGCTTTGGAAATGTGTCAGCTGCCAAGAGCTGCAGACACTGGGATTCAGTCATGCACTGAAACCCCTGCTGGAAGGAGCCCAAAATACCAGCTGAGATTGAGCTGCAGCTTTGAAATGTGTTAACTTGTGGGACAGAAAGCAGTTTCTACCTCTGGCTTGGAGGCAAAATCTTCACTACTAAAAATATGGATACCTGTTATTGAGTAAGGTTGAAGGCAAAAAAGAAGTAATCGCATTTAAATCAAAAGTAGCTGTTAATGACAACTTTGCTTTGGTTAATAAATGTTCAAAATTTTTTTCTCAGTACTGTTCTACATTTATCTACATTTATTATGTTTTCTAGGCATCTATCTTAAAATTCAGTCTCATTAAAACTTCTGAAGAAGGTATAAAAACATTATTCCATTTCACTGACACGATCAGTGTAATTTCTGAGGGCAATATTTCATGTAATCTTCAGAAAATTCATACGCAATGTGAAAACTCATTTGAATAGTTTATTACATCCTCGATTTGGTATAAATAAAACTGTTCTATTCTACTGTTTTATCCTTGTCATGCAATCCCAATATTCATTGCTGCAATAAATTAAATCTTATAAACAACAAAACATCATAAAACAAACTCAAGAGATGGTGCAAACAGGGAACAAAAAGGAAATTATCTAGTGCAATCTTTCTGAGTGAAAAACCCTTGAAACATGTTGCAACCAGTCAGTTAATAATTGCTTTGTAAATCTGAAATGAAGCAGAGGGGATAAAACTAATAAACAAGTCATAAAGTACAATTTTTACTTGTTTGGAGTGATTATGATTCCCTGGAGGGAAGAGGGGCACAAAAAGGCTGGTTAATGTTCAAGGAGCACCTCTGCCAAGCTCAGGAATGAGCATCAGAATGAAGAGGAAGTCAGGAAAAAACGACAGGAGGCTTATATGGATGAACATGGAGCTCCTGGACAAACTCAGAAAGGAAGCCAACAGAGCGTGGATGCAAGAACAGGTAACCTGGAAGGAATACAGAAATTGTCCAAGCAGACAGGGATTGTGTTAGGAGAAGTCCTGACAGAATTAAAATTGGCCATGACAACAGGAAAAGTACAACAGTGATAAAGGGAAGACTAGGGAAAATGTGGGCCCTCTCAGAAGCCAAATGGGAAACCTGACTACCCAGGACACGGAGAAGGCTGATGTCACCAACAACTCCTTTGCCCTGGTCTTCATGGACATGCGCTCCAGCCACACTGCCCAGGCTGCAGAAGGCAAAGGTGGGGACTAGGGGAATGAAGAATTGCCCAGTATAAGAGAGGATCAGGCTCAAGAATATCTAAGGAGCATGAAGGTGCACAAGTCCACGGGACATGACGAGATGCATCTGCTCGTTCTGACGGAACGGGCTGAAGAGGTGGCTAAGCCACTACCCATCGGATGTGAGACATCATGGCAGTCCATTGAAGTTCCCTCTGACTGGAAAAGGGAAAAGTAACTTACAAAAAGAGAAATAAGAAAGACACAGGAAACTACAATTCTTTCAGCCTCACCTCAGGTCAGAAAGATCATGGAAACAAATCCTCCTGGAAGCTTTGCAAAGACACACGTAAAAGGAGGAGTAGAATGGTGACAGCTAACTCAGCTTCACTAAGGGCAAATCATGCCTGACAAATTTGGTGGCCTTCTATGACAGGGTCTATTACTGCCACTGTCAACCATGTTCAAAATGTCGTAACAAAGAATCTGTTTTCATATCTCCTCCAGTGTAGCTATAATGCTTATGCTGGAAAACACATACAGTCCTTAAAAATAAATAATGTGTCACACAAAATATATGCTTGCACAGTTGCTGAATATTATGACAAATTTTAATACTACTCTGAAAACACACTGGTCTCTCTCCCTTATTCACTCAGGCTGAACAAAACACATGATGGATGTTAAAAATCCAGGAGCCATCTTCATTGCTAGAATACTCAGATGTTTATTTTTAACAATCTTAGGCTACTTAATGTTCTTTTAAAAAATTATTTTCTCTTAAAAATTTAACATTTAAATAGTCTACTTCAATATTTTACTTTGTATTTGTAACGTATTCCTCTTTTCCCGCGCCAAGAAGCCCACACCAAAAAAGGTGTTGAAATTCTGCCACGCAAGTATTCATATGCCTCACCTGAACATCTCTTCTCTTGGCTTCCTATTACTCAATTAAAAAAGGCACTCTTTGAATACTTTCATTATTATCAAGAGACCTGAACATACACTTTATTTTTTCAATCAAAAATAGAAACAAGCTCTCAACATATTCAGTTTAAGGGATATAAGTTCTGAACATTTTTAGAGTACTAAGAACTCTCACAACAGACCTTAGAAAACAATTCATACCATTCTAGTACTACTTCACTTAATATTTAGTATGCATATGCTCCAATTCTAAGATAAATTTAAGTATGAAAATAGCATGGAATGCACTTATCAATGTGGAAAAAATAATTCTCAGAGAACTTGAGAAAAATCAATAGACAAGAAGGTAAATATTTCTGAAAATTATATATTTAGTATAAATCAAGATGAAAAAGTTCACAGCTTTAGAGTACACTTCTGTACCCTCCTAGCTGATGGAAGATTGCCAGACTGTGGTCTGAGTCATAATGTGAACAGAAATATCTTAGGAATGTTTTGCTCATGCTGTTTGCTGCACAAGAAATTCATTAACTTCATTAGCAAGATATTTAGGTAAAGCGTAACATGCATTAAAATGTTTTTACAGACTTAAATATTCAAAAATCTTGAAAGTGTACTGTCATACAAATGACTAATGTCTGCAATCAGAAAACAAAAGTAATCTACCAGTTCCTCTAGAAAAGAAGAAAGGAAAGCAAAACACATTGACAAATGGAAATAATAAAATACGTAGAAAATATATCAGGACATCAACTGTGACACTTAATGGCCTGTTTGGCATCTCCCTGGGACAAAAAAATGAAACACAAAAGTTCAACAGAACAGGATGAAGGGTTTTTTCCCTTAGTCTAAAAAAGGAACAAACTCAATGCAACAAAACTATAACCTGTCAAGAAGAATGTTACAAGTGACTTACAGGAACCAGGAATTTTTTTATTTCTTCCAAGGCATGACTCATACGAGAATACGCCTCTCCAGGTGGAGCAAACACTTCAATTAATACATGGAGCTCATCACTCAAGTGTGCGTATTTGGCTTCTCCACTTTTCCTTAGTTCTTCCTCCTACGAAGAAAGGGTGGATTTGGTTTTTAAAACTGGAAATCCACTAATTTTGCAGTGATTTAGCATTCACAGACAACATGACAGAAGGACATAGTATAAGCAAACTTTTAAATCCTTTGAGAAATAAAAGTCTAGTTCAAGCCACTTAAAGATTTAAAAATCAATTTTGAGTGTTTGAATGATAGAACCAGTATAATTATAATCTAAACCAGATTTTAATCAACACAGTGAAAAAATGCTAAATACTCCAGAAGGAAGTACTGACATATTAAATCCACAATGGAAAAGCTGCATTCATCTGTCTGAATCTTAGCTCTTAACAACAAAAAAACCCATAAAATAAAGATGCATTTAACCATTTTGGAACACTATTGTTTAGTAAACTCTTTAGGTTCTTCAATAAATATCTGCAGCCTGTATATTTTAGTACCACCAAACAAAAATATGCCCTAGGACTTCTATATGAGACACAGAATGACAGGATAATTTGGGTGTGAAGGGACCTAAAGACTTTGTAGTTCCAGTGCTCCTGCCATGAACAGACAGCTTCCACTAAATCAGGTTGCTCAGGGCCCCATCCAACCTGGCCTTAAACAATCCCAGGGATAGTGCATCCACAACTTCTCTGGTCCAACTGCTCCAGTGTCTCACCACACCCATAGTGAAGAACCTTTTCCTAATGTTTAACCTAAAACCTACTCACATTCAGTTTAAAGCCACTATCCCTTGTCCCCTCACAATGTGCCTTTTCACAAAGTCCCTCTTTCTTGCCCTCGTTCTGTACTTGAAAGGTGCCATAAATTTACCCTGAGCCTTCTCTTCTCCATGCTGAGCAACCAAAATTCTCTTCATAGCAGACTGGCTCCAGCACTGGTCATCTTCATGGCCCTCCTCTGGACTTGCTCTGACAGATCCATGTGCTTCTTGTGGCAAGGGCCCCTGAGCTGCTCTCAGTACTCAGTGAATCTGAGTTTCAGCCTCAGTCCCAATTCAGGGTACCTATTCAATGTGGTGTACAGCTCAGATGGTGAACCACCACACCTAGATATAGCTCAACCATCTTTGGGTCCCAATTTTCTAGCTATAAAATAAGCATAATAATCCTACTTTATGTTAATGTTCTCAACTGTCAATCCACTTTCTTACACAAAGTTTTAAGATAGAAAATGTAAATTGCAAAACACATTTGTAGTAGCTACTGCTCCATACAAATCAAAGACATAGAATAGTGATCATGTTAATGGTACTTGCTATGACACCATAATGAAAAATGTAGTCCATTACTACACAAGATAGCCATAAGTAAGTAATGCTAAAGAAATTATGAGTTGAACTCTCAGTCTTCAAAAATATTTTGAGAAATGTAATTTAGAAGAAAATATGTATCTACAGAAAACATTATCACAAAAAAAAAGTAAACTAATTTGCTTGAAAATGGTGAAGAGGTTACAGCTTTTTAGTATATACTAAAATAATAGTTTATGAACATTTAGTTAAGATATAAAAACTGTAACAACAGATTACAATTCTTACCGATTTAGCTTATTTAATTCTGCATTAAATTTACTCATTTCAGCACTAATTTACACCACTGCTTGCTACAAAAAACATTTGCAGAACGCTATGCTCCTTAGCATAGCATTCTGCATACTCCTAACAGTAAGTATTCAGTTCTTTTTATCTATGTTAGAAGATCCAGCCTCAAGGACTTTTTTATTTTCCAGTGAATGTACAAAGGTTACATCCTGCAGCTCCAGTGCCCAAGATCTGTCTCCATGCTAATTCAACATTTTGCAGATTATGATAAAATTGTAACTCAATAAATGTGAACTATTATTTTATTTTTAAATTTGAAAATTGACATATTTGTTTGCAACTGAAACTAGAAAAATTAAGATAAGACATAATTGTCTCAGTATTTTAACTTTTACATTTAAGTTATCTTGGTCATTTTAGCTTATCACTGAAATCTCATTGAAAATTCCATAAGAACCATAGCATAATATAAAAATCCATCATGAGATGTTTCCAGTTTTCTGAAAAAAAAAAAAAATCACACATTTGATTACTTATTCTGGAAAAATCTGGTATGGACTTTTCATAGAATTAAGCTTTAATAGTTATAAGGATACATCCTAGTTGATTGCTGGGAGTTTCTTCCCTGTTGCTTTTTAAAGATTCTGAGGGGGAAAAAAAACAACAAAAAACCAATACATGCCAGAAAGCCCCAAAACTTATCTTTCAGGAAAAGACTACCAATAAACTTAGAATTTAGAAACTGGAACTTTCAGATCTAGAAAAAGCAGAAGAATAATATTTGACTCATTATTTTGATGCAGATTCTGTGCAGCTAAGACATCAGCAACATGATTTTATAATGCATACCTGGAATATGTTACTGCTGCCTCTTTGGTGGTAACAATGGTAATTATCGTAATGGTTTCTCTTCTAGCTCCTGAACAAACTCAGGTTTTCTTACAACACATCATTTGATAACCTCAGTTCAGCACATGCTTTATGTATAGCTGTTGGAAACCATTAGCTGAGGTTGTGAGATACTGCACATTTCCTTGTGAGGATACCTAATGAGGTTTCTTCTTTTGGAACACATGGGGTTAAAGACTGAATTTTCACACAGTATCTCTTCCCATCATAGGGTAAAATGTCATAATAATGCCCCTTTTATTGCAAGTGTATGTACAGAGACAAAGAAACTTAAGGAAAACTATGGATGAGTAGGAACTCACAGACTGTGTGAGCACTGCGCCAAGCTCTCCTTCCCAAAGCCAGTGAATACGACTGAGTATCTGGGGACTGAATGCAGCCTTATATTTAATCCTATGTCAGGTATCAGGCATCTAACAAGCACACAAGAGACATGACTCATACTGCTGGGGAGGCACTGGCTGGTATGGCAGGTGATGCCTACTGGCAGCTAATACAGCTTTCCAAGGGCAGTACAGATGAACAGGCCCTCCCAGGAGCACAGGAAGATGAACAACACCTTCGCAGATCTTTGTTAGCAAGCAGCACATCCCAACTGCACAGCAAACTGGTCAGTGTCCTGGACCCAAAATCCACACTGCTCCTATTCAGGATGACAGTACTGCCCCTTGTGTAGCACAGCAGTGGGTTTTGCCTCCTGCTAGTTATACTCTGGTTGCAATAACTAAGTTCCCAATAGAAGCCAGAGAGCCTTTCTGGAGCCCAACCTTGATTTAGTTTCATAGGAGAGGAATCCAGTTAAAACCCTGTGAGCTCTGCTCACTTTAAATAATGGGAGTTGGGAATGATCAGGAGGCTCTCCTCTAAGCTGTGCTTCTGAGTCAAACAAAAACATTAATGAATAATGCCCCATGTAGGACTGGTAAGGACTGAAATGGATGATGAGACTTTCAAGCACCTGGTACATTGAGGCAGAACAAATGAGATCATCATAAATCTATTTTTCAATGTGTTCTTTACAAGGCTATCTGGATGCTAATGGCCTTCCAAGGCCCTAGTAGCCTCTATTGCACCAGTGCAATTACTTGTGGACTTTGGCTGTTTCTCATATAACTCTGCCTTAATCACCTCTGAGTTTCAGGTATTCCTCATGGTGCTGTCTGCAACTTTTGACAGCTCCTCATAGCTTTTTACATTCCACAATTCCCTACAACATATCCAGCAGTTTTCTAGGCTCTGTTCAGCTTGCACAGCCTTGGCCAGTTTCCACCCAGTAGCCAATTTGTTCCCTCACAGTCTAAGCACAGAAATGACAACTGCTTAAGCTTACTTATGTAGACAGAAATGAATCACAGTGGATGGTGATGTGCATCGAAAGCCTGATGGAGTCACTGAATCAAAATGCAGTTAAGTCTCAGGCACTAGATCTTAGGGTAGAAAAACAACAAACCTGGGACCTGATCAATTCTGCTTTATAAAAGGAAAGGAGTAGATTCCTTGGTTTTTGGGTTAGTGATAGCAGATGTTCTTGGTTCTGACTCTCAAGTTCAGAGTATGGTACTTAGTTCACGGTGACAATGTTTTACTTCAGTGTCAGGTTGAGCACAGCAGAGAAAACATGTATCATGCTTCAGAAACAACTTCCCCTCATCCTGATCCTCTTCCATTTCATTCTGCATGCCCATTCCCTTCATTTATCATGAATGGCAGAACCCAACTCCTCTCATACATTGTACTTCAGGCTTCCTTAATTCCCTTCATTCTCTCTTCTTCCTCTCATTCTTGGAGTGTCTGTCACACAGTGCTGAAGTCCATCCACCCTCAACATGATGCATGGCTCTATAACCCACTCCCTCCTAAGGATAACAAGTGTTTTGAAGCATCTACTGTGTTTTATAATTTCCAGTTGGCTAAAGCAGGGAAAATGAGTTATAAAACTCTATAGCAGTAATAGTAGGATTATCAACCTCTTCAAAAGTGAAGTATGTGAGTGATAGGAACATAAAGGCCAAGAAAAATGATGAATTATTTTAGGATGTGAGAGGAGTCTTAACATTTTAAAAGGATATGTATTTACAGAGAACTGCTTTCTGCCTGGAAGCCTTGCCAAAATGCTTGAATAAAAAGATTAAAGTTGAAAGAAATGGAGTTTGCCAAGAAAACAGTTACACAGTGCAGATTGGTGAATCAAAAGTGTCCTCATAATGCTGAAATAACAGGAAATCAAAGAATAATAGAGAAGAAATTTGCAGTAGGAATTGTGTAGATCTCAGAGATAAATTTATCAATACAATACAAAGAACTTCCTATAATGAAACAAATACAGCTACAAAAAGAAACAATGGGTGCTTGAGGAACAATATGAGAATTGCAATGGATTTCATATCTTGCTAGGATTTACAAAGAAAAGCATGGTGCAGAGACTAGACAAAGATGATAATCACAGGGCTGCTGCTCCACAGGCATTATTCATAAGATCACTGGGCAATGCTACAGAAGAAAATTAATGAGCATGCAGTTTGACAAATGCAAACCTATTAATTTTTAATCTGGAC